AGGAGGGGCGAGAGGCCGGGACCCGGGGGCTCAGTCCGGCCGGGCAGGGGCCACCGGGAGCGCTGGGAGCGCGGGTCGTGAGCCGGGGGGCGTTCTCCTGCGAAGAAGGGGAGGGCGGCGCATCTATCACCGTAGCCGACCGCCGCCCCAGCCAGTGACTGCAGCTGCTTCTGCCTTAGCCCAGGAAACTGTCCCTTTTATACAGACGGAGAAACTGAGGCACTGAGCAGTTTGGTAACGTGCCCAGGGCCAGTGAAGTGAGGATGGTCAGGGCTTTGGACTGTGCAGCCAACAGACACCACGGGGAGGGGGGAAATCAGAGGTGACCAGAGGAGGGGTCAGCAGGCTAGCAAGACGAGACCTCAGCGAAATGGGAGCTGTGTAGAAAAGGGGGTCCTGGGACGGAAGGAGTTAAAAGGAGGCCAGACCACTCCATAGACCTGACTCCTCCCGCCAGGCCTTCCCAAAGATTCCCAAGGTTCCCAGGGCAGGGAGAAGGGACGAGGATGCCCATACACAAACACACACAGGAAACAGCCCAGGATGTCGGGGAGGAGAGGGGGGAGCAAGGGGGAGCCCAAGACATTGACGGTCAGGGGTCTGGGCGGAGGTACAAGCCCACCAGGATGGGGGCAGAGTTTGGAAGCGAGGAGGGAGGACTGGGGGTGACATGCCACAGGGAAGAGAAATCCAGGCTCCTGTGAGCTGTGTGCTTTTCTGTGAGACTCCCCAATGCCTCCCTGAAGGTGGTTGTCTTCCTATTTCATAGGAGGGCACTGAGGCTCAGAGAAGAAAGGGGCTTGCTCAGGACCACCCAGATGCGGGGTTCCATGGCAGGATTAATGAGAGCAGTGGGGAACTGGAGACACGATGCCTAAGGGCCCCAGGAAACCTGACTTGGACCCCTGAAGCTGGAGTGACAGAGTTCCCTTGGGGATGCCAGGGACTGAGATGGGGTGTGCCCTAAGCTGGCAAATGATGAGATCGCTAGCCTGTGGCCGCCCATTCCAAAGAAAACAGCAGGCCCCAAGCGGCAATGACTTATTAGGGGCTCCGGCAGGGCTGGACCTGACATCCTGCCAGCGATCAATTGCATGGGGCTGCTCTGGGGGTCGTGGGGGGCTGGGTCTCATTCCCCTTGCTCTCCACCAGGCCGCCCAGCCCAACGTCCAGAGCCCAGCCCTCCAGAGCCAGAGCCCCAGACCCCCGAAGGGTCCCAGGCAGGAGCAGAGGGGCCCCCCAGCCCTGAGGCATCGCGGAGCCCAGCACGGGGAGCCTACCTGCAAAGCCTGGAACCCAGCAGCCGCAGATGGGTGCTGGGGGGGGCTAAGCCACCTGAGGAAGCCTCTTCGGGGCCTGGGGCACCTGGCAGCGGGGAGCCCGCCGGAGAGATCTGGTACAATCCCATCCCTGAGGAGGACCCCAGACCCCCAGAGCCTAAGCCCCCAGGGTCACATCTGGCCTCGGTGGAGCCTGAGGGCCTGGCCCCCCAAGGTGAGCTCAAGTCGCATACCCCCTCGCCCCAGGTGACCACAAACCTCGCACCCCCTCCCTTTCCCCAGGTGAACACGAGCCTCACCCACCCTCTCTCTCTCCCCTAGATGAGCACAAGCCTCACAATCCCTCCCCCCAAATGAACTCAAGCCCCAGGCTCTTGCCCCAAGCCCAGGTTTCTGGGCCCTGAGGTCCCCTCTCCGCACAGGTGCAGTCCCTGCCAGCCCCCCCACCAAAGCCTCCCGCACCAAGTCCCCGGGCCCGGCCAGGCGCCTCTCTATGAAGATGAAGAAGCTCCCGGAGCTGAGGCGCCGCCTGAGCCTGCGAGGCCCCCGGGCTGGCCGGGAGCGTGACAGGGCTGCTCCTGCAGGCTCTGTCATCAGCCGCTACCACCTGGACAGCAGCGTGGGTAGCCCCGGGCGGGCTGCAGTGGCCGGGGGCACCCGGAGCCCAAGGGCTGGTTACCTCAGCGATGGGGACTCACCGGAGCGCCCTGAGGGGCCCCCGTCACCCACCGCCTTCCGGCCTTATGAGGTGGGCCCTGCAACACGGGCGCCCCCAGCCGCCCTCTGGGGCCGCCTCAGCCTGCACCTGTATGGCCTGGGGGGGCTACGGCCAGCGCCAGGGGCCACCCCGAGAGACCTCTGCTGCCTGCTGCAAGTGGATGGAGTGGCCCGGGCCCGGACAGGGCCGCTGCGAGGGGAATCGGACTTCCTGCGGCTGGACCATACCTTCCACCTGGAGCTGGAGGCCGCCCGGCTGCTGCGGGCTTTAGTGCTGGCATGGGACCCTGGCGTGCGGCGCCACCGGCCCTGTGCCCAGGGCACGGTGCTGCTGCCCACAGTCTTCCGAGGTAGGGCACGTGGCTGCGGGGGAGGAGGGGCAGACCTTAGGGTTCCCCCTTCCCTGAGAGTGCCTTGGAGGCTGGCCTCTGGGGGTGGGAGGTGCAGCTTGGAGTACAGGAACCTTCCAGGCACACCTGGCTCGGGCCTTCTTGTGTCCCCAGGATGTCAGGCCCAGCAGCTGGCCGTGCGCCTCGAGCCCCAGGGTCTGCTGTATGCGAAGCTGACCTTGTCGGAGCAGCAGGAAGCACCTGCTGCCGCTGAGCCCCGAGTCTTTGGGCTGCCCCTGCCGCTGCTGGTAGAGCGGGAGCAGCCCCCGGGCCAGGTGCCCCTCATCATCCAGAAGTGCGTTGGGCAGATCGAACGCCGAGGGCTCCGGGTGAGGCCCATCCCACTGGCCCCTAGACCTCAGACCATCAGGACACCCAGTGTATGGGCTCTGGTCCCCTCCCCCAGTAGCCACTCCTAGCTCCAATTCCAGCTTAGACAGGGGCAGGAGGGCCCCCCAGAGCCCAGCCCGCACCAAGCCCAGAATCCAAGGGTCACCTGTCTTATTACAGGTTCAGGGCCCTTCTGGAGCTCAGAATCTGACGAGAGAAAAGACATGACTCCGATAACTCACAAATGTCAAATTGTAACAGGAGTAAGAGTTAAGAAAGGGAGTTACCTGGGCTTTGGGACAGCTTAAAGCAAAGCCGGACCTGGTTGGGGTAAACAGGGAAGGCTTCCCAGAGGAGGATATGACAAGTGAGCTGAGCAGAGTCTCCTAAGTCAGAGGAGGTGGGAGCCAGGACAAATGACCCAAGCAGAGGGTTGACAAGGCTATGCTGTCCAGGCAGCCAGGTGGGGCCCCTGGTGACAAGTGCCAAGAAGCAAGAAGTTAGGCAGCAAGGCTACAGCCAGTCCCTGACCTCGCAGTCCACAGCATCCACTGGCACCCTAGCCCAGACTTCCAGCCCTCACTCCACTGGGCCCTGATCAGTCTGTGGCCCCAGCAAGAAAACATCTCTCTGTTCCCACCCCCAGGTAGTGGGGCTATACCGTCTGTGCGGCTCAGCAGCTGTGAAGAAAGAGCTTCGGGATGCCTTCGAGCGGGACAGCGCAGCTGTCTGCCTCTCTGAGGACCTGTACCCTGATATCAATGTCATCACTGGTCAGCATGGCCCCCTCTCCCCTGTCTGCTCACCCCACTGACCCCCACCTCAAGGCTGGACTTGTGGCCCCTCTGGGACCCTACCCTTCCTGGCAGGCCTTGTTTTTCACCTTTCTGCACCCTGTCTGCCTCCTCCTACCCCTACTTCGGGCCCCAATGGACCCCTCTGGCCTCAGAAGCCAGGTGTGCCCTGACCAGAGGGTGCCCCATGTTCACAGGCATCCTCAAGGACTATCTTCGAGAGCTGCCCACACCACTCATCACCCAGCCTCTCTATCAGGTGGTGCTGGAGGCCATGGCCCGAGGGCCCCCAAGCAGAGCACCCCCTACCCCTGAGGGCACCCGAGGGCTCCTCAGCTGCCTGCCAGATGTGGAAAGGGTGAGTTGAGTCTGATGGGAGTGGCAGGACATGGAGTGAGCTAATACCAGTACGGTTTCACCCATGATGGGGCCCGCAGTGGGCATGAGGTTGCAGCAACATCACATCCCTACGAAGTAGGTGCTATTAGTATCCCACTTCATTGATTTGGAAACTGAGGCCCAAAGCAGTTGAGTGAGTTCCCCAAGCTTGTGCAGCCAGGATGTGTCAAAAGCATTCCAAACACAGGTCTGTCAACCTAACACAAGGGAGGTTGGTTCCTGGCTATGAGAACCTGGACAAGTCCCATCCCTCTATGTGCCTCAGAACCTCCATCTGTAAAATGAGATTCATGCCCGCTCTGCTTAACACAGAGAGGAGTGAGTTTGAGTGCAAGCTCTGCCATTCCAAGGCTTGGCTGCCTTTGGCCTCAGTCCCCCCTCCAGCAAAATAGGATCATAATACCCATACCTAGTGATTAAGTCTTAATTCGACCACATCCCAGGTATGAGACCTTGAACCTCAGTTTTCTCACTCTTAGCCACCTTAGACTCCCACAGCTGCCTGTCTTATGCCCTGCCAACCCTCTCCCCAGGCCACACTAACGCTTCTCCTGGACCACCTGCGCCTCGTCTCCTCCTACCATGCCCACAACCGCATGACCCCACAGAACCTGGCCGTATGCTTCGGGCCTGTGCTGTTGCCGGCACGCCAGGCGCCCGCATGGCCCCGCATCCGCAGCTCTGGCCCAGGCCTCGCCAACGCAGTGGACTTCAAGCGCCACATCGAGGTGCTGCACTACCTGCTGCAGTCTTGGCCAGGTGAGCTCTTCCGCCTCTCCCTCCGGGGAAACTGGTCACTGTTTACCTCCGTAACCAGTTCAGATCCCGCCAATCAATCTCTGATGCAGTTAGAGACCTTACCTCTTGACATGCCAATCAGAGGCCTGGTTGCCTAAGCAACCTATTCTAGCTCTGCCAATGAAATCCTAATCCGGTAGAAGGCTTTGCCATTCCACAGGCCAATCAGAAGCTCGGTTACCTAAACAGCCAATCAAGAGGCTGGTTGTCGTTGCTGTGCTTGACACACCCCTCTCCCCCACCAGACCCTCACTTGCCCCCAGAAGCTCCAGACGTCGCACCATACTTGCGACCCAAACGACAGCCACCGCTGCACCTGCCGCTAGCAAGCCCTGAAGTGGTAACTCGGCCTCGTGGCCAGGGAGGCCCTGAGAGCCCCCCAACCAACCGCTACGCTGGCGACTGGAGCGTTTGCGGGCGGGACTTCCTGCCCTGTGGGCGGGACTTCCTGTCTGGCCCCGACTACGACCACGTGACAGGCAGCGACAGCGAGGACGACGATGAAGTGGGCGAGTCTAGAGGTGTTGCAGACTTCGAAGACGAGTTCGATGCGCCCTTCAACCCGCACCTGAATCTCAAAGACTTTGACGCCCTCATCCTGGACCTGGAGAGAGAGCTCTCCAAGCAGATCAACGTGTGCCTCTGAGCCAGCGGGACCCGAGTCCCAGTTGCAAAGGCGATGGATGCCCTAACGTCCTAGGAGGACCAGATCTGTTGCTCAGGCAGAGCTCCTGGTTGCTAGGGAGTCGCCAAAGGACCAACTGCCTATTACTGCGAATCGTTCCTAGTTTCCGGTGCCCAGTACGTGGGCACTAATTGAGAAGGACAGGGACTGGGGATTTTTAGGGACCAGCGATTGTGGCCATCCTTCCTTAGCACTAAGGGCTTCTCTCGTTGCCAAAAGGCAGTTTCCTGCTTGCTAGGCTGGCCTCTCTTGCCTCCCCTTGACCGGGGAAACACCAGTTACTTTGAGCATCACCCTGGCGTGGGCAGACACTCCTAGTCAGTCCTCTTGCTGCTGCCAACCAAATCAGTATTAGCTTTGAGCACTACACTCCATTTCGCCCTCCCTCGGAGGACCCAGGGACTATCATGAGGTACTGTTTGGGGGGAGGCAGCCCCTATCCCGGGCTCCAGCTGGATAGGGGCAGCCTGGGGCTTATAGAAAAACAGCTGGTTTCCCCACCCTCTTTTCCAGGGAAGACCCCATGATTAGCCCTGCAGCCAGCAAATGGAGATAACAGAGTCTGGCTCTTCACCTCCTCCGTTCCCCCTCCCCACTCCTGAAAAAATTGAGCACTTAATCTCTCCCTTTCGGAGGGGCCCCACCTGAAGTGTCAGGCTGGGGGCAATTTGGTACGGAACATATTTATTGCCTCCGTGTGTGTGTGTGTGTGTGTGTGTGTGTGTGTGTGTGTGTGTGTGTGTGTATGTGTGTGCGCGCATACACGTCTGGAGCAGACGTGTGGGGCTCTTTCAGGGACCACAGAGGGGGTAAGAGTTCACAGTGCCCAGCCACCCTGAAATCCCCAGAAATGTGCCTCAGTGGACCTCAGAGCTCCAGTGGGAGAGTAGGGTGCCCTCTTATCTCCCTCTTCTTTACCGCACCTCCATTTTTGTGGACAATAAATCAATATGCACAGGTTCCAGCACTGAGTATTTGGACCCACATGGGCCAGAGGTGGTTTATTCAGTCTGTAAGAGAGGACAAAGGGCACAGCTGGGCCCATAGAGAGAAAGGCCCAAAAGCTCTCCCAGGATGCCAGGGAGCCTCTCTGAGCTTTGACCCTTCAAATTCTTCCTCAGGGAAGGTTGTGGAGTCATTGTGTCTCAAGAGATAAGCCCAGGGCAGGCAATAATGAGTCTCCAAAGCAGCTGGGCACAGTCTGAGAGAGTAGGAAGGCAGCCAATCATACTGGCCCACAAGGCCCTATACAGCAATGGAACCATCACGGAAGTCCGTCTTCCCAATGAGGATATTGACTACGACTGGATGGCCATCCCGGCACTGCTGCTGGGCATCACGTAGCACCTTGACTACCTGATCCTCATTCTCCCGTGACAGCAGCAAGCCCCGGGCTCCAAGACCCATGGCTGCTTTGTGGTAATCTAAAGGGGGTGATTAGGTCAGACTGCAAGCAGGGACCCAGCCCAGCATGTAACCAGCTCAGGAGGGGAATACAAGATTAGCTGGGCCTCAAACAACCTCCCATCCTCCCCACCCTGGTGAGGCCCCCCTTACCAGTATAGGCCAGGCCACAGGCCACATTGCTGCCCAGGCTGGGCACCTGCTCCCGAGAAATCTGGGTCCAGCCTGCATCATTCCCTATCAAGGCCACCACTGGAATCTGCGGGAAGAAAATGAGGCCAGGCCACAGCCTTCTGCTCCACAGCTTGGCCAGCCAGATGACAGAAACAGGAACAAGGCTTCTGCCAGACAGAGGAGGCTCCTTCCCTCAACCCACCCTTGTGACATCTACCAGAACCACAGGTTCTAAGCTTCCCTCAGGGCAGTCCAATCACCTTGTGTCTGACAAATGTGTCAAATTCAATGAGGCTATATCCAAAGGCTCCATCACCAAATAGGCACCAGACCTGGAGAGGTGGGGGGGACCCAGACAGTTAGGGTGGTTTGTGTGGTGCAGAAAGTCTCCCACAAAGCAGAAAGTCTCCCACCTCCCATGCCTCACCTCGGCATCTGGCCGGCACAGCTTGGCCCCAAGTGCAAATCCAGCACCAACTCCCAGAGTCCCAAAGGCCCCTAGGAAGACCAAGAGCAGGTGAGTGTGAAGGGATCCAGACAGTGCAAGATGTCCCAGGCCTGGACCCCTCCTCACCAGGATCGAGCCAGCACAGGGGACCACGGGGCTGTACCAAGTGGGCGGCAGTGCCCACAAAGTCCCCGCCATCCACCACCAAAATCGAGTTGTCAGGCAGACTTTCCTCCACCAGCTGCAGCACCTGCACTGGGTTCAGGTGCTGGGCCACAGGCATCGCTGCCTTCTCCCTGCAACAAGGCAACTAGGTCAGCAGGGCCAGAAGCAGAGCCTGCCAGAAACTCCCTCCCATACCAGTCTGCCCAGCCCCCACCGAAAGGTCTGCTCCTTCTGCCGGTCAGCTTCCCTCAGTTCCTCCACCCAGTCTGAGGCCCATGTCTGGCCCCGAAGGCCTTCCATCAGTTTCAGCACGAAGGAGCCTACATCTCCTGGGAAAAGAAGAGTGCACAGCTGTGAGGAGGTGGCTTCCTCCTGTCCTTCAGGCACCAGAGGCCTGAGGACAGCAGGAAGCCAGCAGCAGTAGCCAAGCAGGTGGCCTGGAAGCAGGTCAGGGCTACTTCCAAAACAAAACCGGTGAAACACCCCAGAACCTACCAGAACCAAGCGAGCAGAGCCTGGGTGAAAGGGAGGGCAAGGCCTGAGAAACAAGGCTTACAGAGCACAAAGCAGGCTGCAAACCCAAGCCAGCCCATCATTTCCCTCCACCCACCCCAGATCATGAAGTCCTGTCAATTCTGCCTGTGAAACAGTGATACAAACAGTTCCATCCAGCAAACACACCTCTCACACCCAGGCATGCAGAAGCTCACAGTGATTGTTAATGAAGTGAATAAAAGAATAAACTGCCCAGTGATATACTTTGATCATTTTCAAAATGATCAAATGGATGCTCAGAGAAGTTGCTCTTTCACCCCATCTCACCTGTGTCCCGGCCCTTTTTAACAGTCCCACTGGCGTCCACCCAGAGTCTTTCCAACCTGCCACCCTCAGCTGCTAAAGTGGACCTTCCCAGCACAAATGCAGTGGTACCACTTTGCTGCTTTTCACAAGTGCTCTGTTGTCTACACTGTCAACGTCCTTAGAACGATGGGCCAAGTAGGGCACAGACAAGGGACTGAAGTGGGGGGTAGGGCAAGGGCATGATAACAGAGAGGCTCAGAAGCCAAGGAATGAACTTCCTGTCCTGAGGGCAGCGGGTGGTGTGGGAGGGTACAGGATCACATGCACATTTCCAAGCTCCTTCTGTGTCCAGGCCACCATCTGTTCCTACAGATGTACCCGTCAATCTGAGAGCCAACTATGTGTCTCCGGCTGAGTGGTCTCCCCGGGAGGCAGGGTCTAGGCCTCCACCACCAGCACCCGGCTCAAGCCAGCTGCAGCAGAGGAGGACAGGGCATGTGTGTGTGTATGGGGGGTGTTGGGGGACTCACCCTGCACAGCCTCCTGGGGCTTCCAGAAAACGTCTGAGTTGAGCAACATCTCTTCCCGGTTACGATTGACGGTGATGATCTTGCTGCTACGGCTGAGGACACGGCCATAGGACATGCGGAAGTCACACACAATTCCTGGGGTGGGGGACAGGAACGCAGTGGACAGAAGGCCCATATTCTGAAGTGTCCACTACCGTATTGATCCACTGTGGTAGACTGCATACAAAAGGGCCCCCGTTTTTCACCTCTCCCTGCACCTGTGCCATCCACAATTACTTGACAACTCCCAGAACCCTTGAATCTGGGCTGGCCTCCCGACCTGCTTTGGTCAACAGGAGATGGCAAAAGTGACAGCACACCATTCCTGATACCAGGCTTCACGAAGCCACACAGCTTCCACTCGCTCTTGAATAACTGTGCTCCCCTGGCCCTGCAGTTTTCTCTTCCTCCACCAAGTGAGACAACCCAGGCTCACGCGCTGGAGAATTAAAAAGCTCACGCCTATAATCCCAGCACTTTGGGAAGCTAAGGCAGGAGGATGGCTGAGCCCAGGAGTTCAAGACCAGCCTGGGCAACATAGGAAGACCTCGTCTCTATAAAAAAAAGTTTCAAAATTAGCCGGGTGTGATGATGTACACCTGTAGTCCCAGCTACTTGGGAGGCTGAGGTGGGAAGATCACTTGAGCCCAGGAGTTTGAGGCTGCAGTGCACTATGATCGTGCCACTGCACTTCAGCCCTTCAGCCTGTGTGACAGAGTGAGACCCTGACTCAACAACAAAAAAAAATAGCATGGGGAAGCATGGGCATGGAGTGGAGAACTCAGTCACCACAACTGAGGCCCTCTCAAACCAGCTGCAGAGAAATCAACCCCCAAATGGATGAGCAGGCCCAGCCTGGAATAGTACAGCTGCCTACCTGCCTACCCAACTGCAGCCTCATGAACAAGCCCAGCTAAAACCAGAACTACTGCCTTCTCTGTGAGTAGGTCTTGAGAAATCAGAAATGCATTTTAAGCCACTGAGTTTGGGGGCTGGTTGTTACATGGCAATAACTAAGTGATACACCTATGATATGTCTGGCAGCGTTCAAATTTATGTGAAATTGTGTCTCAGGTACGGTAGGGCCTGTTAGATGTTCATACTCCTCTGGGTGGAGCTGGGTGAAAGAGTGAAGGGTGCCTGGAGAGAGGGGGGAGTAGAAAGAGGGAGGGGAGGAGGCTGAAGCCCACCTGCCAGGACAACGACATCTGCCTTCTTCAGGGCAGCACTGCGGTTCTGCCGGATGTGGAGGGGGTGGTTGCGGCCCAGCAGCCCCCGTGCCATCCCACCTAGAAAGCAGGGGACACCCAGGGTCTCCACGGCAGCCCTGGGGGTCCAGGCAGAGCAGAGGTCAGTATGGCCAAGGGCCCGTCCCATCCCCACAGGCCACCCGAGGACCCGGTACCAGGAATGTGACACAAGGGCAGGGCTAGGGCATCTCACCGGAGCTTGACGGCAGGTGTCGGGGACAGCAGGGCTTGGCTCCCTAGTACCATCAGGGGCCTCTTGGCCCGGCTCAAGATCTCTATACAGCGCTGAACCTGAGGCGAGAAGCAGGGCTCAAAGAGCTGTCCTTGAGTCACTCAGTTCCCAAGATCAAGGCGCCAATACTGGGTCAGGGAGAACATAAGAGGACCCCACCAGGCAGGGATCCTTGGCCAGGGAAGAGACGTGGCTCACCTGCTGGAGAGATGCCTGAGGGATGTCCAGGGGCAGGGGTCCCTCAGGCTGAGGCTCCCAGGCCCCCGCAAAGAGGTTGGCCAAGTGATTCTCTAAGTACCTGCAAGAGGGAGAGAAAGAGGCCAAATTACCAGGATTCATTACGGGAATACCAGGTGCTGAGGAAGGAGAGGGGCTCAGGAAGGGGCCAGGAAAGGACCCAGGAGCAAAGTGGGAGGAGGACAGGGTGGACAAGTGACACCATAGAGACAGATAAACCCGGGTGGCCTAATCTCCAGCTGCCTGTTTCCCCTCAGGAGCCTCTGGTGATCACCCCAACTTGACACAGTCCCCCCAAGAACAAGTAGTGCAGGAGTGTCAGGATCAGGGCCACGGGGCAGAGAGATGTGCGCTTGAGTCCCAGCTCTGCTACTTCTAAGCTGTGTGACTTTGGGCAAGTGACTTCACCTTTCTGAGCTTCCTCCTCTGTGAAATGTAAAAAAGGCTCAAGATCTATGCACTTAGGATGTAAGGCACTTTGCAAAATAATCTGTGGGATTCATTGCCATCACCCGGTCACAGTGCCTTCTTGGTCTCCCTACTCATCAGGCTCCGGGCCCCCAAGCTTCCTGAAAGCCCTGTGGGGAGGGTGCGGGGAGGGTGGTCCTAGAGACACAAGCATAGATCCTGCCCTCAAGGAACACTCAATCCAACCCAGCACAGACACGTGGGCGTTAGCAGGAAGCTGCCGGAGCTCAGAGCCAAAAGTGGCTGTTTTCTCTGTTAAGCCAAAAATGGCTGTTTTCTGTTTTCTTTGTTAACAAGATCACAGAGAGGAGGCCAAGGATAGAACCGTGGGAAATTCCAACATTTAAAGCAAAGGCCATGGGCAGCTGAAGGAGAGGGCAATGGGGGAGGGAAGAGAGAAAGACAACTGGGAGGTCAGGGGGCAAAATGCATTATGAATGAGACCACAGAACAAAATCACTCCTGCTTGAGCCAGCCCTCAGGCGCTTCCCACGCCCAGAGCCCAGGGACTTGACCTGTCTTGTCCATTGATGTTGCCAGGTGCCTGTCATGGCACCTGGCACGTAAGTGGCGCTCACTAAACACATGAAACAGGAGGGGCAAGGACAGGCAAAGGGAGGAATGGGGGGGAGAAAGAAGAAGGCAAAGAGGAAGGGGAGGAGGAGGGAGGGACAAGGAGGAAGACAAAAAGGGTAAGGGGAGGAGAAGGGAGGTGGAAAAGGAAGGAAAAGACAAAGAGGAAGGGGAGGAGGAAGAGGAGAAAGGGAAGGGGAAGAGGGTGAAGGCTGTTCTAAGCCTCTCCCCTCTGTTCACTGCTGCCTCCACAAGGGCCCCGTTGCTTTCCCAACCCACCAGGTTCACTCCTGCCTCAGGACCTTTGCATATGCTGGTCACTCTACCTGGAATGCTCTCCCCAGCCGGCTCCTCTCAGTCTATATACAAATCAAAGGAGAATAGGTGAGGGAAGGAGGCCCAAGGAGCGGACAGGGGACAGAAGAGGGCATGGTAGGGGCGGGGCTACTAACCAGGCAACCCCTCGGGCCACGAGGCCCTTGGGCGGCTTGGCTGCCACCATCTCCTTCTGGACCATGAAGAAGGGGTACAGCACATCAATGGGCAGCTCCACAAACACTGGTCCTGCGGGAGCAGGGCGGACACTGAGCCTGTAACACCTCCCCCAGCCCTGGGCCCCTGACCACTCCCAGCATGGCCATCCTCCACCTACCTGGGGTGCCCGACTGGGCAGCAGCCATCGCGGCCCTCAGGGTGGGCACGATGTCCCGCACCCTCCGCACAGATGCACAGAATTTGCAGAGCGGCCGGAACAGGGACATCTGATCAATGGCCTGGAGTGCACCCCGGTTCTGGCAGAGACAGAGGTGAGACAGTTGTCATGTGAGGCCTTTGAGCCTGCCTAGGGCCCCCACCACCCCCCAAGGACTGGGCACCTGCAGCAGAGTGCCAGAGGCTCCACCCAGAAGCAGGACCGGGGATTGGGCTATCTGGGCATTCTTCACTGCAGTCACTGTGTTGGTGAGGCCGGGGCCTGCCGTCACTGCCGCCACGCCTACTGTCCCTAGAATACAGACTCAGTCACAGCTGTGCCCACCCTCCTGGCCATAATCCCATCCCCCCCAAAAAAAAAACCATACCCCTCACAGACACCCTATCCCATGGTTCTACCCACCCCTACCCTCTTTGCAATGCCCTCACCGGTCAGGCGAGCTACAGCATCAGCAGCAAAGACAGCCGTGACCTCATGACGTGTGTCTACCACACGAATGCCCAGCTTCTCACAGGCCACCAGCAGTGGGGAAATATGCCCACCAACCAGTGTAAATATAAACCGCACGCCATGGGCCTTAAGCACAGCCGCCACGTTCTCCCCACCATGCCGAACGCTTGCCTTGTCCACCTTGGCCAGGGGAGAGAAAAGAGCAAAACAGTCAAGGGGCAGCTGGGTAGAGGGGATAATCCCCCTGCCCCAGGTAGAGGGGGCAGGAGCAGGGTAGAGGTTAGGGAAACCATGGTCTTAGGCGCACATTATACTGTGCACATGGCCCAGAGCAGGGGACAGCATCTATCAGATCCTCTTATCAGCTAAGGACACCAAGACATGTCCAAGCAAGATTCAAGGTCTGATAGAACCCACATTCTTAAGTGCCTCACTCTGTTACATTGCCCGCCTCAGGGATAACAGTGAAATCGGGAAGAGAAGAGAAGGTGGGAGTTTGGCCTGTTGTGACTAGTGCCTGCATTCTTCTGATATGCCTGCAGGGCCTGGCAGCCAGACTGCTGATCCCAGCTTACCTGACTCCCTCCTGATCGATGGCAAACAGGCCCAGGCCCAGCTGACAGACTGACAGCTACCACGTGCCTGGCACAGGAGTGGCATGCTGACACAGACTGTCAAGGTCTCCCAGCCCCAGCTTCCTCACAGCCCAGCACACCCGAAGTCTTTGCCTTAAATCTCCATAAGTCCTCAAGGTTAGTGACATCACTCCTGGCTAGAAGAAGGACTGGAGAGTGGTTTGGGGAGGGAGAGGTCAAGACTGGTCCCAGGTAGGAGAGGAAAGATTGGGGAGGTCTAGGAAAGGAGCACATTTTGGGTAGCTATGGGGTCAGCTCTTCCCAAACAAATCACCTAGGGTAAACCACCACACAACTTCTCTAAGCCTCAGTTTCCTCCTGCAGAAAATGATGACAAAAACAACAACACCTACTTTCAGGGACATGATAAGGGGTACATGAGAAAAGAGCTGAGCACAGCAGAGGACAACTGTCACAAAACTGTCACAGCCACCCCCTCTGGTGCCTGTCTTTGGCTCCCTGATCCTGCGTGAAAGGACCTAACTGCGTATTTAAGAAGCACAAGAGTGCTATCTGCTCCGTGAAAAAAAGTTCAGGATCCCTGGAGGGGGAGGTAGACAGACAGGGTGTGAGTAACTGGGTAGCAGCAGCTTCCGGATTATCTCTTGGCAAAGTCCAGGGCCCCATATGCAGCTTGTCAATGGGGACAGGGCCCCGGACAGAGTCTCCTGACCACCTCCTCTGGACTAATCAGGGCTCCCTTTCCTCGCCTGTAGAATGGGTGAGCTGGAAGGAACGCCCTGAGGCCCTTCCTTTTTTGGCTGCCCCCAGCCCGCCTCCAGTCTGAGCCCCCCGTCTGAGTCCCCGCACCTTGTGCATCAGCTGATAAAAGAGCCCCAGGCGGTGGGCGGCGCCCAGCAAGGCGGCCACCAGCGTCCCGCAGGCCAGGAGCAGGAAGGCAGGGAAGAAGCTCCCGGCAGCGGCAGCTGCCGCAGGGGTCTCCATGACCTAAGGGAGAAAGGGTAGTGCCTAGACGTGGGCGCGACAGATCGCTAATCCGAAAGAAAATACACCCCCGTCGCTAGTTTCGGCGCGGCCACGCCCCTTACGCGCCCAGGCTGGGAGCGAGGCCATGGGTCTCAGGACCCCGGCAGCACTTCTCAGAGACCAGGCCACGCCCCTTGGCAGCGCGAGGCCCCATCCCCTGACGTCATCACCATCCCCACACAAACTAGGTCACCACAAGTCACCGCGGCGACCACGGCAACAGAGTTATCTTCCCACTCACCTACTTGTCAATAGTTAGCGGGAAGCCCCGCCTCTCTTACAACAGGACCCCGACTCTCAGCCCCAGTGGTGAGCCCGCCCCACGTTACGTCACCAAAAGAACGAGACCACGCCCCCCAGGTTACCCTGTACGACCCTCTGCTCAAGCCACGCCTGTCCCCTTAACGTCGCAGCCCGAGCCTGACCCCCGATTCCAGGCCTCGGGTCGAGGTCAAATCGCATCAGAATGCTTCTGACACTCGCTCGACCCCCGGAGCTCTTCAACATTCACCTACAAGAAATGGCGCTGACTCCAGGCGAATTCAGGCCCTCCGTGTCACGTGACCCGGGCGCGAGACCGTGCCCCTTTCGCTCACTTGTTTCAGCAGCGCCCCGTAGTCCGGACGGATGCGCCTGCGCAGTCTCTACTGGCCGCCTCGCACGCAGGCCCCGCCTTCCCTCGTCTATCATTGGTTAGCACTCACTTTTTTTTTTTTTTTTTTAAACCAAGAAGCCACGCCCTTAAGCGGCTCCCTTAGCCAAGACCCTGGAGGGCCTGCATTCCGCAGCCTTCTGCTGGCTCCACGTTGCAGGCTCGTAGGTTTCAACTCTCCGAGCGCAACTTGCTTTCCACACCAGCCTTTCACGTTGGCCAGGCTGTTGTTTGGACGGTCACGCTCCCGCTCCCCAGAGCCCCACCATCAGGGACCTTGTCCCAAGCAAGCCCTGCCCCAGCCCAAGCACCAGGTCGGCCCCATCGCCCATAGCCCCGCCCCGATGTTGGCTCCGCCCCCACAGGCCCCTCCCCCTTCCCGGAATGTGTGCTTGGTTTCGCTTGCCTAGGAGCAAATGCTGGCCCCAGGCTGCGTTCCACCACTTTCCTGCCCTTTGGCCTCCAAAAAATTATCTCCCCTTTAGTGAAGGGGGAGTCAGTCGTTCTGGGACAGAACCCCCTGCTTTTATTCGAGATACGTCTTGCCGTTTAAATGGCTTCCATCCTGTTTCTGGGATTTGCCTCTGAAGATTCTTCCCCATCGTTAATTTTACCGTCTATTAAATTATTCCTACATTCTAATCTAACCCATTTATTTTTAAAAACTCTCCGGAAGCAATGGCTCACAGTTGTAATTCCAGCACAGCAGTTTGGGAGGCTGAGACGTGAAGATTGCTTGAAGAAGTTCGAGACAAGCCTGGGTGATAGAGAAAGACCTCGTCTCTGCAAAAAGCCAAAAAATTAGCCGGGCGTGGTGGTGCGTGCCTGTAGTTCCAGCAACTATAGGGGCTGAAGCGGGAGGATCGCCTGAGCCCAGGAGGTCGATCAAACAACAACAAAACAATAAAAACAAAAATTCCTCTGGTTCTACGTTCTCCATCTGTTATGCTGCTTCTGTTTTGTTTGGGTTTGGGGTTTTTGAGTTGGAGTCTTACTCTGTTGCCAAGACCGGAGTGCAGTAGCATGCTCCTGGCCACCGAAGCCTTGACCTGCTAGGCTCAGGCAATCCTTCCTCTTCAGCCTTCCAAGTAGCTAAAGATACAGGCATGGACCACGATGCACTCAGCAATTTTTTTTTTAATTGTAGAGAGGAGGTCTCGCCATGTTGCCCAGCCTGGTCTTGAACCTGTGGGCTCAGGCAATCCTCTCACCTCCGCTTGGAGTCTCACTCTGTCACTCAGGCTAGAGTACAGTGGCACACTCCTGGCCGCTGCAGCCTCAACCTGCTGGGCTCAGGTGATCTTTCCACCTCAGCCTTCCAAGTAGCTGGAACTACAGGCACACACCACCACGCCTGGCTAATTTTTTGATTTATTGTAGAGACGAGGTCTTACCATGTTGCCCAGACTGATTTGGAACCTCTGGGTTCAAGCAATCCTTGGGCCTCTACCTTCCAAAGTACTGAGATTACAGCCTGAGCGACCACACCTGGCCTTTTTTTTTTTTTTAAAGCAAAATTCCTCCAGCTAGTTATCTATACCTGCTGACTCCACAACCAGATCTCATATTCTCTCTTGAACTCAATTTAAATAGCCACTTCCTGCCATTCCCTCTTGAACTCAATTTAAATAGCCTCTTCCTGCCACTCCAGAGCTACTCTGGATTATTCTAACAGCTTCCAAATCAGTTGTTCTCCCTCTTGCCTCTCAGTTGACTCATTGTCCTCGAGCTCTACAAATGCCGCAAGGGCCCATAATTAACAGGATAAAATCCAAACTTCCTAGAAGGGCCTTCGAGACCCAGCTAAAAACTCCCAGAACCAGTGATGCAGTAGCAGTCTTCACTTTATATCAAACACTGATTGTGTGCCAGGGGCTGTTCCATGCATTAACTCATTTAATCCTCACAAATGCCCTGTAAGGCAGGTGTGTTATCATTATCCCCGTTTCACAAATGAGAGGAAACTGGAGCACAGAGGGGTTAGGGAACTTGCCCAAGGTCACACCACTTGCAAGTAGTAGAGGCAGAATGGGAGCTCAAGGGAGTGCCACCTGGCCCCCTGGACTAGTAGAACCTCGAGGATGGATCCTGTGCTTTAACCATGTTTGGCTTCTCCAGGCCCATCAGGATGCAGATTCCCTAGTGCTTACCTCCCAGCTACAGCATCTGTTTTTTTGTTTTTGTCTTTTTGTCTATGGATTTCTAGGCCACCAAAATCCATTTTACCCAGTGAAAGGACATAACATAGCTTTAATATACCCACCCAATGAGCAGCCATTTTAACATTGCCTAAATCTCATATTTTTCTAGCAGTTCACTTAACTTACTCTCTAATCACTAGCCAAGGACAGAACCAGTTTCTCAGAGGTAGCTAATGACAGTTGCTGTACAACCCCTTCCCAGTTACTGATAAGCTTTTCTATTCCAAGTATTTGCCTCCACCCATAAGACCCAGGTTAACCTAATCAGCCCTTCATGACCTACTTGACACAGAACCCCGCCACCATGTCAGCAATTGGGTGACTAACCCACCCATCTGCCTGCTGTCCATCACCTGACGTCAGTACCTGCACTTGCCTGACCCTTCGTGACAATGTGGAGCAGACCACGACCCAATCACCTTAATGACCTTCACCCATCAAAGGGAAGGATTGCTGACTCGGTGGCTCAGCCTGTAATCCCGCGCCTTGGGAGACTGAGGTGAGTGGATTGCCTGAGCCCGCGGGTTTGAGACCTACCTGGGCAGCTTGGCAAGACCTCATCTCTACAATAAATCAAAAATTAGCCGATTGTGGTAGCGCGAGTCTGTAGTTCCAGCTACTTGGAAGGCTGATGCAGAAGGATTGCCGAAACGCAGCAGGTCAAGGCTGCAGTGGCCGGGAGCAGCCACTGCACTCCAGTCTGAGTGACAGAGTGAGACTCCAACTCAAAACAAAACAAAACAAAAAAAATACAAAGGGAAGGATTCAAAGAACTCAACCACAAGCAGCCAGCCACCATTGTCTTACTAGCCTCTGGTGTGCCATGTGCTCTTTGAGCTATGGCTGGTGCCATATTTCCTGGCTTTGGCCCCTTGGGGAGGTGAATCTCCTCTTTCTTTCACTCTAATTTACTTTCTAAATAAACTATATTTTCTAATCTGATTTCTGTGCAATTCTTTGCATCTTTCTCGTGGCTCCAGAGCGCACACCAGACACACACCCTAGTGGGCCTGACCTTACATTCTGGAGGCCCCGCTGGGAGTGTGACCTAACACCCAGCTATGTAGCAAGCCAGAGTTGCTGGAGGAATTAATGCCTCCCTCTGGCAGAGCAGCCTTCAGTCCAATGACCATAGGACCTTAGTGAATAAATACTCCTGTTCTCTCACCCCTTGAGTAGGACAACTCACAGGTGTGTTTCTGCATTCACTTCCAGACCTTCCAGTGCAATCAAGCCCCAGCTGCCCACAGTGGTCACTTGCTTGGATAACACACCCTTTACTGGTTGCCTTCTCTTTCCCAATTCATTTCCTCCCTCCCCTACTAGAGTTATTTCAGATCAGCTATCAAACTTTTCTTTTTTCTTCTTTTTATGAGACAGAGTCTCATTCTGTCACCCAGCATGGAGTACAGTGGCACGATCCCAGCTCACCACAGCCTCAACTTCCTGGTTTCAGACTATCCTCCCACCTCAGCCTCCCAAGTAGCTGGGACTACAAGCATGTGCCATCAAGACTGGCTAATTTTTTCTTTTTTTGTAGAGACGAGGTCTTACTATGTTGCCTGGGCTGGTGTTGAGCTCCTGTGCTCAAGCAATCCTCCCACCTCAGGCTACCAAAATGCTGGGATTACAGGCATGAGTCACCACACCAGGCCCAATATCAAACTTTTCAAACAAAGCACTTCCTCAGTCTACTTCTGGGTGACTTCATCTAAGATTCAGAGCTTGGTACAAATATAAATGCATAAAGTTCTGCTGAACAAGTGAGTGATTGCTCGCCTGCAAGAACAGCAATAAGTGTCATCTAGAATGTAGTAAAAGGATGTGAAAGAAAAATCCTGATCCTTCTAACTGTCATCTTTGACAGAAACATTGCCTGTAAGCCAGAGGTGCTTGCTAATTTTTTTATTCGTTTGTAGAAATGATGTCTCGCCATGTTGCCCAAGCTAGTCTCAAATTCATGAGCTCAAGCAACCCTCCCACCCCTGCCTCCTCAAGTGCTGGAATTACAGGCGTGAGTCACTGTGTCTCCTATTCCACTCTACATACATCCTTGAGAACACAGACTTCAGAGCTAGTCTTCCTGTGTTCAATTCACAGTAGTGCTGCCACTCCCTGATTCTGGGACTTTGCTGAGGTTGTCAACTGCTCTTTATTTTTTCTTATCAGAGAACTATAGTCCATATCTACTTCATAGGGTTGTTCATGAAGCTCTAATGAGTAATTCTTCTAATGTTTAAAATAGCAGCTGGCTTAGGCACCTCATTGACAAGAAAGTCAAAGTCGAAGTAACTAAATGCAATGTGGATGGAATCCTGGGACAGAAAATCAACATTTCTAGAAAAACTGGAGATATTTGAATAAAGTCTGGAATTTAGTTCATAGTAATGTGCCAAAGCTAGTTTCTTAGTTTTGACAAATGTACTCCTGTTCTGTAAGATGTTGACTATGAGGTAAACTGGATGAAGGGTTTACAACTTTTTTGCAAATCCAAGATTATTCCAAAATAGAAAGTTTATTGAAAAAAAATTAAGGGGAGGCAATGCACTGATATGGTCCAGGTTGTGAAGTTAGAACAGGTGAAGTTTGTGAAACTGTGTGTTAAGGCTGACCTGGCTGGCTTGTGGCCTTGCTCTTAGGGTGATAGAAATGAGTTCTGAATTGAAAAGTTTCAGGTAGATGTGAATCTGAAAGGCTTATGACAAGATGGGCCAAGTTCACCAACCCTTGCCTCCAAATAATTTTGTTGGAGAAATGCCAATCATTGTTCCAAAAAAAAAAAAGTGG